CAGCAGGAAGAGAGGTTTCAATGGCCACTCCGCTCAGGAAGTCGTGCGTGATGGCATGACGATGAAAACCACTTAAAGGAGCAGTGGGGATGAAGACAGACACGCTGATGGGGAGGTGGGGCGCCATTCTGGCGCGAGGGCACCTCAGTACCTTGCCGTGCACACGCATCCAGCGACAGTACAAGGCGTGCTTACACAGGCGAGACGCACGGCCCAGCTCGTCCTTCCCCGTCGTGGCATTGATGACCTCGATGGCTGAGTCGCCCACCGTCCAATTGACACTAAAGTTGGGTGCCTTTCCTGGCTGCCGTGCTTCCGCATTGCTGATGCCTGGAACAGAGTAGATGCATGAGGAGACTTGAGGCTCAAGTTCACACCAGGAAGGGAGGGGCTCCAGGTGCTGCACACGGTGCTGGGACACAGCCACAGAGGGAGGTGTTTGGGAAACACCACCTGCTGGGGAACATACATGGACGTAAACACACAGCTGCCATGGTCAGCAGTGTCACCCCGCTCACTGCTGCGGTGGCCACTGTTGCCCAGAAAAGGGGTGGGGCCAGGAAACAGGGAATGACTCACAGGCACATCCCTGTCTGTGCTGGGGAAAAAGGAGAAAGCTGACATACTTCCCTTCAGTAGGCCTTGGTTGACTTCAGGCTACCAGAGCTGGAAATCTTGGTGCTAAAGGACAGAAGAGTGAGCTTTGTCTACAGGGTTGTTCTGGGGGGCTGCCCCTCAGCATGCCACACCTACCTCTGGTTTACGTGCCTACACACACTCCCTGCCACAGCCAAGTATAATCAGGCCACATAGCGACACCCAAGATGCAACAGGAAACCCTAAATGATACCCAGTGAACACCCATGCTTTCTCACTGGGCTTCAAGACCCTAACTAACCAAAGGCTCATTCTGTAGGGATGGATGTATTTAAAAAGACCCTTGGGCAACTTGGAGTTGAATGCACACATCTCTACTTGTACACTGAGCTTGATACTTCACATCATATGGTCATTACAGGATGTCCAAAATCAAACTGATGGAGGGAGTGAGTCTTTAGATCACATGTAGCCCATGAGCTGACCCACACGCCGGGCCCACCAGCTGCGAGCAGTACCCACACACCCACATGTGCTCAGCACAACCACCATTGGTGGACCACCTCTACCTGCTACCACACTCTCCACCTGCTTCCAATGTCCACTTACTCCTCCTTTCAACAGAAATTACAGCCAAGGAGATGCTTTACCACAGGCCCATGTTCAGAGTGAGGAACCCAGAGTGTGGCAAACCCTGAGTTGAGATCCATAAAACACAAGATAGCCAGAGCTGACAGGACAGACTTCCCGAGGAAACAGAAATGCACAGAGAGCCCTGAAGACCTGCAGAGAGCATCTCTGGATCTTAGCAGAAGACGCTTCAGAACACTGTTCTAACGGATTCTCTTATGAAGAAAAAAAAGCCATAAAATATCAAAGATTAAACCGAACGTCCAGAAATGAAAACTACAACTTCTGACATGAAAATACACTTGATAGGATTAGCCAGAAAGTAGAAAATTAGCAAATTTGTTTATTTTATTTATTTATTCATTCATTCATTCAGAAAGAGATATTTTGCTATAGGGCACATGTGCTCACCAGAGAGACAGAGTGAGACAGAGAGACAGAAATTGAGAAATCACCTCCCAGGGAGGATGACCGGACCATAATTCCTTTTCCTCCATTCTTCTTTTGGGATTTTGGGCACATATGCACACACACTCAGCTTGAGTTTTAAGTTGCCGGGTCAGGGACTCAAACCGTGGTCAACTATGTGGAAGTCCAGAGATGTAACCATTACACCAACTGCTGGTCCCAAAATTAGTGAATTTAAAGACATGTGATAGAAACTATCCAAAATGTAACACAAAGAGAAAAAAAGATTACTGAAGGGAGAAAAAAACTGTGGTGGTTTCTTTTTTATTTGTGTTTATCTAATTTTGGTATCTGATGAGGTCAAGTGCCCCTTCCTGTGCCTGAGAGATTATATTGTGGTGGAATTGCATACTCTTTGACAGACTGATTAAACTGTCTTTGAATTTGTTGAAAAGTAATTTGTTGACAATTTTAAAAAGTTATTTACCTTTATTCATGGGGAAGAGCATGTGCATGTGTGCACAGGGTGGAAGGCCCCCCTCAACAGTGTCTTGTCACACCACTGTCCCCTTCCCCAGCTCTCCAGTGCCTCAGGACCTTGGACATAAGTATGTGTGCCTAGGGTGTTTTCAGGCCAACCCAGGAATCTGAACCCAAGTCAGCCATGTGGTCTCCAGCAATGCAGTTCAGTTTGCTACTAACTGTGTCATCAGACTGGCCTGCTGACACGTTGCTTTCAATGTTGTCCCTGGAAATTTCCTTTGCCACATTTTATATTTCTTTTGGGTTAATTTTAATAATTTGCATCTTCTTACTCATCCTTCGTTGTTATTTTCAAATTATAAATGTTAAGAGTTAAAGAATTCACTTTTAAACACCTTTCCGATTTTGTTTTACGTTTGCTTTTTCAAGGACTTACTTCTTTATGAACCCGATTTTGTTTTACTTTTGCTTTTTCAAGGACTTACTTCTTTATGAACAGTACAATACTATGGCCTTAACAAAAACTCAGTCTGTGAGTAAAAGTATTATTTTTCTATCTCTTCCTAATGAACTATTATTATGTACTATTTTACTTCTCTCTAACTGAAACAATGATTGACATCCACAGATTTTTAAGATTATAAACTATTACCTCCCACAGTTCTCTACATGGAGATTATAAATTCTTTTATTGGCTATGTTAAGATTATTTTTGATAATTTATGATAATTTATGAGATTGCTTGTTGTCTGATTTTTTTTTTTTAGAGAGAGATTTTTGCTTTAGGGCATGTATGCTTGCTGGAGAGACAGAGAGACAGAAAGTGAGAAATCACCCCCCCAACCCGGGGGAATGGCCATGTCACAATCCCTTCTTCTCCAGTCTCCTCTCAGAATTTTGAGCGCACATGCACATGTTCTCAGCATGAGTTTTAAGTTGCCAGGTCCAGGACTCAAAACACAGCTGACTATGTGGGAGTCCAGCAACATAAGCATTATGCCATCTACCTGTCCCTGTTGCCTGGTTTTTACTCAATATGTTTTTTTCTTTAAAACTGTACCTCACAGTAAAGAATTTCATAGACAACTCCATGCATATTTGCAGAATAACCATTGGAGTGAGTTTCAAATGTTCAAAACATAATGTTATATGCTGAAGGTGGTAAATATGTTTATATCCTCAATTTATTACACACTATATACATACTTCTAAAGGCCATCCTGTAACCTAAAAAGGTGTATAATGATTACATGTAAGTCATGAATTACAATAAATATTTAAAGACAAAAGAGTTAAAGAATTCTCTAAATCTGATGTGGTCTAATTCTAATTGTAGTCCATGACGAGTTGCTTTAGATTGTTTAGAAAAAAGTTTTTTTGCATGATAGAGCATGTATGAGAGAGAGAGAAAAAAAAAAAAAAAGAGAGAGAGTAAGAAAGAGAATTATCCTTCATAGGGTCCTATCAATCTCCTTTCCCTAATCCTTCAGCTCCTTGGAATCCTGGGCTTGCATGGCCTGGTGCTTTTTCAGGCTGACCCTGGGATCTTAATCCTGAGTCAGCCATGTGGCTTTAGCACTATAGTTCAGTTTGCTACTGACTATGCTACCAGGCTGGGCCCTGCATATATATATATATATATATATATATATAAATGAAACTGAATAATAATAAAGCTAAATAATAAGTTGTCAGGCATAGATGTATGTGTAATAAAATTCTTTAAAATTGTAGATTAACAAAAAATTCGGGATAGCAAGCATTTCAGAGAAAATACAGGGAAGTTTCAATGCACTGCAATGTTCTCATTAAGTGGATGGTAAATTCTCAAGTGTTCACGTAAAAAATATTCTCAGGACCAGCAGTTGGCATAATGGCTACGTTGCTGAATTCCCATGCAGTTGACCGCAGTTCGAATCCTGGACCCAGTAGCTTAAATTCACCTGGCCATGTGTGTGTGTGTGTGTGCCCAAGATCCCGAGAGGAGAATGGAGGAGAAGGGATTGCAGCGTGGCCATCCCCATGGTGGGGTGATTTCTAGCTTTCTTTCTCTCTGTCTCTTTCTGGCAAGTATACACACCCTATAGCAAAAACCTCTCCAAAAAAAGATAAATAATTCTCTTGAAATTTTGATACTTTCCTATGTTTCTTATCTATCTATCTATCTATCTATCTAGATATGTTCAATATATTCCAATTCCTATTTTGTTTATTTTGTGTCACTGGCTATTACATTAATTAGATTTGGCAGTAGTATATTTGTTCTGTTATTTCAAATGAATGCCTCTTAGCTTTTATTATTTTTTCTTTTTTTCTTGTTTCTTATATCATTGATTTCTGTCCTCCCTCCCTCTTTCATTGGTATTTCTATTTTATTCCCTCTTCCTGTAGATCCTGTTTAGCTTTGTCATTATGAGAGTCTATCTTCCAATGGGTGAATTTTTGCTTTTCTACTTTAACATTTTGTAGCTAACCTTCCGTTTTAATGTGTTTTCATCAGAAAAAGTAACCAGTACAATCAATGAGTTTAGATGTAATTACTCAGTTGTGACCGTGGGATGCACTGCAGAGCTGAGCAGTTTGACAGAGTTACAGAGAAAAAGTGTGAACACTGTCATCAAGCTGAGTTGGTTAAAGTACACTAATCTAAGTGCAAACTTCCAGTGGAGTCTCTCTGACCTATCACCTACCAACTGCTCAAAATCATGCTTTAGTTTGTTTCCTAATTGAACCATTCCTTTCCCAAATATTAGGTAGTTGGGAAAGTCATGATGTATTTTCCTGTTTTTCTATGCAAAAATGTGTCATGATTTTCCCAATGACCCAATAGCTTTTAAAAATTTTTTATTTTTATATTTAATTACTATACGCCTTTATGACATACAAAATGAACTTTCCAGCATGAGTATACTGTATATTAGTCAGCCAAAGATAGTACCATATACATTATCATCAACCAAAAATTTTTCATTTTTGTATCCCTTAAATGTTTTTCCCCCTTGATTCCCTCCTTCTCACCTTATGTTGTCCACCCTCCCCCAACGCTGTCTCTAGTCTCCACAGTTGCACTCCCTGCTTTTATACCTTCCAATGTTTCAGTTTTTGCTATAAAGTGCAGACGTTCAGTATATATTAAGTGGGACATATAATGCTTCTCTTTCATAGTCTGGCTTGCTTCACTTAACATTAAATCTTCCATATTTGTCCAGTTT